GCTGGGGCTGAAACTCTGATTGGGGAGCTGAAATAAAATCCCCTGGCTTGCCTGAAATACAGACCCCGGGGCTGGAGGCCAAACAAAAATTGTAGCTGTGGAGATGAGACAAGGCAGAGCTGGAGGCAAAACAAACATCTCAGGCCTGAGCCCGGAATTGGGACAGCAGAGCCGCAGGCAAAGCAGCACAGAGCTCCATCTGAAATGATGACTCTGGGGTGCTTCGTATGGGCAGCACGAGCTGCAGTCATTGGTGGGGGACAGCAGCTGGCATAAAGCCTCTGGGACAGGCTCAGGGCTGAAACAAACAMTCGGGAGCAGGATCTCAGACAAAAAACAGGGCTGGAACAGAAAGCACTGTGCAGCTAGAAAAGTGACTGTGGGGCATGGGGCTAGCATGCACATCCTTGCTTTTATAACTCCCTAGCACTGGGTTCTAGTTACCCCAGAGCTGGAGAGGACCAAGCCCAGCTCCTTGGCACCAGTTAGACCAGCAGCACACAGCAGGGGTGGTACTGGGAGCCCGGGGCAAGCTTGCCCACCCAGGCGGGAGGGCGCAATACCACCCATAAAGCAGACACAGATCCTTCAGAACTGGATTTGATGGTCTATAAACAGTTTTTTTAAGATACCAAACTATTCCTTTACACATCTGAGTCTGCATTCTGCTACTCAGGGAGCAGCAGGCAGCTGTCACCAGATTAGCAGGGACAGCTTGTCAGCCCCTGCTTCCCCCCCTACAGCCCCTCTGCAAGCTCCCACCAGCTGCTGCTGCTTCTCTCTTCAGGCAAAAGTGCTTTGCCACTGCATGTGCAGGCTCCTGCAGGGGAGAGGGGAGAAGCCACTGTAGACACCTACAGCAAAGGCAGGAATGAGGGTCCCTCCCCTTCAGCCACCACAGGTCTCTCCAAGCCCAGAGATCGGCACTGGGTAACAGAAGGACCTGTGGCCTGCAGAAACCCCAGCTCCCAAGCACGTAGAGTAATCCACGGGAGGCAAAGATCATTCATGTCTGTCCAGAACCACTGATTATCCATTCTCAGCATCTGGATCCCTGCTTCAGGGTCTTTTCTGTCCAAAAGGGCTCTTCCATCTTGCCACCCAAACMTCTCAGTCCCCAAGAACTGGGTAGGAGAGTACAGGGACTGCAGCCCTGCCTGGCCCCACAGGGTCCCTCAGCCCACCCCACATGAGGGACCAAGGCTGTTTCTCCACCCCAGCAGATCGACTTGGCCCTTATCGCATGCACAATGGGCACAGTGATGATACAGAGGCCACAGGGCATAAATATCCTGYTTTTCGGGCCCACAGCCGGACAGAGCCCTCAGCGACTCCCACTCAGCTGCCGGGAATGTTCCTTGCCATTTCCACCGTGCATYCCAGCTGACTGGGAGCACAGGGTGGGAGGAGGTCAGGAGCCACAGAAGGGGGACCGGCACCTCTTGTCCTTCCTATTTCCAGGGAAGAGCTGTGCCTGCCATGTCCTGCTCGTGGCATCCAGCATGCAAAACACACATCCCGGGGATGGGCACAGGGATGCCCGGACAGCGCTCGGATGGACATGGATTAAGGTCTGCTCGTGGCTCCGCAGCCATGGGCTGCTCTGAACAGGAACCTGGAGATGCTTCACCCCAGACAGAGCCCGCCAACACTCCAAAAATATCCCAGGCAACAGCAGGCACCCGGCAATGCCGGCACGTTGTGTTTGCGGAGGGRCTCAGACAGCGATTCCCGGTGCCAACCTCCTGGAGCACCCACACCTCCACCAGGTATGTCCCACCCAYCCCCAATCCCTTTCCRTCCAGCCTGAGAACATCACCCAGCAGCAGTGTTAAAGCTAAGGCTATCTTTCCTCACAGAAATTAAATCATAAGCTGCAGTCCTCAGACATACCTTCAAATGAAAGGTTAGAGTTGGGTGACGTTTTGTTTGGATAAAGWTTGGAATTTTTTGGGGAGCCAGCTGGAACTACAGAACTGAAGCAAAAAATTCACAGATGGGTGAGGCTGGAGGTGCACTGAAGGCAGGAATGCCCATCCCTTTCCTCAGGGAAAAGAATTTCCAGAGGCCATTCCTAAGGCTCTGCACTGAAATCAGCTTCTGCGGGGAGGGATGTCCTCACCTGGGCACAGGGGCTGCCTCGGCACAGGCTGGGAGCRCGYGYGGCCACYGCCTTCTCCTGATTTAAAATATCAACTGCAGCCTGAGCTCAGGGTGGGTGAAATCAGCTGAATTCCAGGGAACTCTGTTCCATGYCCCCCAGGGATGTCAGCAGGGATGAGGGGATGAGGGTTAGAAATAGAAAATTCTGTGGAATAGAAACCTGTCCTTGCCCCAGTGCTGCTGAGCTTCCTTGGAACCTCTGTCAGTTCCTAACGCAGCTGGCATTAAAGCGGCAGCTTTGCGTGGACATATCCGTGCTCTGTGAAGCACTGTGAGGTTATTCCAGCAGGAATTCTGCAGGGAATTCGGGCCATGGCTATAATTCWAMWCTAGCAAAGCTGATCCTGAAACCCAAATCTGGGCACCACACGGAGAACAACCTTTGTSCTGCCCTGTCAGCTAAAGCCCCTGCGCTGGGAAATTTCAGCAGYCAAACGTATGGAATTGTCAAAATCCCAGCAAGCAGCATCCCCCAAAGGGACAATCCAAGTGCCAGGGCATGAGTGCTCGTGTCCTTCCGCTGCTGCYRGCGGGACAAATTCTCCTCTGCACAGTCGGCGCCGAATGGGCGGGRGCTCGGAGCGGGAGGGACGCGAGAGCGGATCGGCTGCTGGACGAGGCAGCCTAGGACCRCAGACGAGGCTGCTGGAATCTAATCGCTGTCAACTGAAAACATCCCTTCCCTGGCACAAGACAGGAACCAAAACAGATCCCCAGGCTGGTGGGCAGCAGCCACCTCTATTCTGGGGCTCTGATTCTGCTGTTCCTACCAGCTCCTGARCAGCRTTAGGGCCACTGGGATGGAGTTCAAATCCCAACAAACCCCAGAGCCCACAGAGGGAACAATCCCAGCAGAGAAATGCAGTGTTGTCAKCAGAAGCTGAAATGATCTGTTAAAAATGCTTTGACAGCACTGCAGTGGCATTCCCAGGAACCTTCTTAATGCTCTTGGTCCCATKTTAATGTATTTTTAGTGCCTCCATGGGCAGCTAGTAGAATTTATCCTGGCATTTAGAGGTTGAGCAAGGTTCAACAACAATTCCAAAAGAGGAAAAAAGGGAGAAATTAACTGAACTTATTACCAATAAAATCAGAGTAAGATAATGAGAAGTAAAACAAATCTTTAAAACACCTCCCCCCCTCCCGCCCCCGCCCCTTTCCCTTTTCTCCTTCCCATGATTTACTTTATTCCAAATTCTCTGCCTCCTCCCCAGGAGCAGTGCAGAAAGATCAGAATGGAGGTTACAGTCAATTCATGCCACTGCTTGCCCCTCAGGAAGAGTCCTTGCRCCGCTCCAGCATGAGGTCCCTCCTACAGGAGACAGTTCTCCAYGACTTTCTCTCAGATGAGTCCTTCTCATGGGCTGTGATTCTTCATCGGCTGCTCCACTGTGAGTGGACTCTTCATCAGCTGCCTTCGCTGTGGTCAGTYGTTTCGGAACTGCTCTGAAGTGGGTCACGAGTCCTACCAGGAAATCTTCTGCAGTCTGGGCTTCTCTCCGCAGGCTCACAGCTCCTTCCACGATCTGCTCCAACACGGCTCTTCCACAGGGTCTAGGTGGATTTCTGCTTCCCTCCTGTGGACCTCCGTGCACTGCAGGAGGACGACCTGCTTTGCTATGGKCTCCAACATGGGCTGCAGGGAAATCTCAGCTCCAGTACCTGAAACACCTCCTCCCCGTCCTTCCTAGCTGACTTTGGTGTCTGCAGAGCTGTTTCTCTCACATATTCTCAGTCATCACTTCTCTGGCAGCAATTGCTACTGCCCAATATTTTTTCCTTCTTAAATATGTTACCCCAGAGGTGCTACTACCGTGGCTGAAGGTCTCAGCCTTGGCCAGTGGCATCCTGGAGCCGGCTAGCATTGTCTCTGCCAGATGTAAGGGAAGCTTCCAGCCAGCAGCTTCTCTTAGAAGCTACTCGTGTAGTCTCCCTGCTACCAAAACCTTGCCATGCAAACTAATGCACATATGAACATCACAGAAGCCTAAATATAAGCAAGAATAAGTCCAATCTAAAGTTTTGTTACAAGTCTACAAGTTTTTCCTCCTGCACAGGAAAAACATGCCAACTATGGCATAGGCACTCTGTTGAACTTTTCCTGCGTTCTTCTTTCCTTCTGCTTCTCTSTCCAGATTCAAAGGAGCTTCTCATCATGAGCTTATCTAATGAACAGTGAAAGATACACAGTTTTTTCTGAGTTTCTATCCATGCCGCATCACTTTTCCCATCGTGACCGAAAGCAGAGAGTCATTTACGGCAGCGCTGATTTAGAATATCAACTTCACTACAGTATTCACATGAACAGCACAATTCACAAGCCACCATGGTGAGCCGTTTCTTTCTATTAGATTGTCTCCTTAAGAACAAAAAGAAAGACCAATAAAGGATATGTGAGATAATAATATTAAGATCATCTTCAAATGCTTCATTTATCATAGTCACAGAATGATTGGGGTAGGAAGAGACCTCAAAGATCATCTTGTTTTAGCTACATGCCATGGGGCTAGAGCAGGTTACTCCAAGCCTGGTTCAGTGTAGCCTTGAACATTCCCATAGACTTGGTTGTACAAGAGGAGAATAAGTAGGACAAAGAGTATATAAAAGATTTGATCTCTCAAGTAATTCTTCTGCTTTGGAAATCTGAGTAGCATATTTTCTCTAGTTACAGAAGCTGCTCCAAACTGTTGACTTGCTAGAATTCTTTGATCACAGAAAGCTCAAACAGCTGCAGCTGGGGACAGATGTGTGACTATCAGACTGGCTTTCCTTTCGGTTCTTGTGATCATCTGACTAAAGCTGTTTCTGCAGAGACTACCAAATCTGAGCACATCTAAGGTGTGGACAACCATGCTGGTGTTTATGAACCGATAGCATGACAAGAACAGCGCAAGTTACATTCTTTTGATAGTTCTTTACRCTAATAACAGTTTGAAATTCTTCTTTTGTATTTCAGAATATTTCCCCTGCGCTCGACCACCCAGTTCTGCTAGTGCTCTTCACAAACTTGGCATTACTTTCAGTCAATTTCAAAGTGACAGTCTGGGACACAGAATAAAATGGAAATTTGTGCCCTGAAATTTGGCCTTTAAATTTTAGAAAGACAAGTAAAATATTGCCACCCAGATCCAGTTTTTCTGAACCTGCTCTGCATTTATGTGGCTAAGCGTCAGTATTTGTACAGGAACATGCACTCGGATGCACAAATATAGCAGTGTCTTTCTGTTCCTACTTCCATATTCAAATTTATGAAATTTTGTTTTTAAAAATGCTGTCTCTCCTTCCTTGTGTTTCTACACCCTTCTGTCTATTGCCACAGCATTTTCTCCCAGCTTGATTTATACGCTATGCCGACGGTTGTTAATCATGGCCACAATGTGTGACAGGTCCAAACTTTTCATCATAACCTCCATGAACTCCTCATCTTTCCTTGCTCCCTCCACAAATTCATCCAGAGAAAGTTCACCTGTGGCAGACAAAAATAAAAGGCATCAGAATCCACACTGGACAGGAAAAGGAGTACAGTAATCTAACTGTAGAGAACACTTACTATATAGGCCGTTCTTATATATAGGCTGGTCTTACATACTTACTATATTATTGTTCTAAAGCACTGTTCTAAAGACCTCAGAGAGTCTTCTTAAGCTTTCATGAAAACACCCCCAGTATCCAGACAACACCGGCTTCCCTTTTTTTCCCATACAAGGGAAGGGGCATGCAAGAAAGGACAATAGAAGTGGGTATGTAAGGAGTGGGATCACAGCATGCTTTTTGGCTTGACCTGTCAGAGTACTAACCTGCCCTAGACTTGCTGTTTTTCAAGGATAAAGCAAATGACAGAAGGAGCCTGTGACAGGTAGAAATAGATTATTCTGTCCTAGGCCAAAAAGCCCTTGTGCAGGGAAGCTGCTCAGCAGAGTTATTCTGGAATAAAAAAAAAGCCTGTYGGAAACTACGAGCACCTGAAGTAGCAAAGAGATATCTCTCAGGGACATACAGGGGCCACGGTGACATTGGCCAACTTTTGACTGAGAGCTTCGTGTTCTTGCTGTACTGCCTGCGGCAGACACGGTGAAGAAACTCCGACATTCAACGTTGAATTCTAGTTCTTCCTTTCCCTGCTGAAATGTCTAGGAGCAGCTGGGGCCATTCGGTAATAYTTCCGACTTCTATCTGGCATAAACTATGCAGCAACATACAAAAAGGAAAACAAAATACCCCTCCAAAACCCCACTACCAAACTCATGTGGACAGGACAAAGCTGAGACTCAGTACGGGAAAAAATCGTGTCACACTGATTGCGTATAATGCCGGGAGAAAAATAATTTTTGGTCCGTGGAGAATGCATTAGTGGCTGAGAATGCAAACAGAAAGAGAATATGAAATGAAGAGCCATAAAGTGGAATCGAGAAAGGAAGAAATGGATGTTACTCTGTAGAACAGAGACTGAGCTCAATGACAAAGCAGGAATCTTACCATCGCCATTCACATCAATCCTGTCAAAGACTCGGTTGGTGAACTCTTCTGCACTAGTTTCATGGTCACCTCCATTAATAGCTCGAATAGCCTAAAATAAAACAGCAAGGATACAGAGCTGTCTAATGACTCCCAGACCGATTTCACAGGTCGGCGTAGATTCAGAATAAGACAGTCACGCTTGATACCTTCCCCATACAAATGAATGAGCAACAGAGTAAAACAAAGCACAAATCATTGGACTTTATGGAAGACACTGAAGGGTGCAAAGAGAGCATGGCTCTGGAGTATGGACTGAGCAGTAAAACCCGGAGGATGGGCCCAATTCTGCTTAGGTACAGTTTATGTGCTGCAGAAATGGCAGAATCAGAATCCACCTCATTGATCCGCTTTGGCCCACTCTGTGACCCTATGCTGCATCGAGCCCCAGAACCGCTGTCAAAYGACCTCCACACTTGACGTGAAATTCCTTTGTTGCACATTGTGCTAATTTATTTCTATTCTTATTTCACGATTTCCATTTCAATATTGCTTCCTGTGTATATGGCTTCTCCCTAAAGCTCACTAGAAATTCACTTTCATCTTGAGAAACTTAAGGCATTATCCACTTCTGTTTGCTACAATTCTTCTTATTCAAAACTACATATTGCAGGGTTCTCTCTTCTTTCGATGCTAATTATTTCCTTTGTTTAAGGATGTCCATGAAATATGTGATTCCAGAGCCTTTATACTGATTCTAAGACTATTCATTTTCTAGTTTTTACTCTTTGGTATTTGGTAATTTTCTTCACTGTTTTTCAAATGCTATTTTGCTAAAACTAAGTATCATCTCAGCAACTTTCTAAGGTTACCAAAAAAAGACACTGAACTACACCCACAAAATCCAAAGGGCAATAAATTGCTTTCCACCAATTGCTGCCCATAGGACTTGTTTTTCAAAAGCTCTGTGTTAACTATTGCTATCTGTTGCTTCACTGTAATGTCTGAGAATTTCTATTTCAAGCTACTAGTAGGAGGCTGTATGGTATTACTGTTACTGATTTTGGTCAAGTTTCTTTGATACCCAGCTCTAAAATTTGTATCCAGATCGGAATGCATTACTAACATCTTATTAGTGCTTTATCAAATCAGTTTTATGACATGTCATATTCAGAAATGTAATTTATTTAGGGTCATTTATTCTTTCCTGCATCTTGGTATTTCCCATTAACTGCAAAATMATCTGAATTTGCAGCATAATTCACTCTGAGAAATTTACAGTGATCTTTATACCCGTAATTCCAACCCCATCCACAATAGTGTCTTGGTTTGATTTGCACACAATTCTTTCCATTCTCAACCATTCTTTTTCAGGCTATTCGTCAGAGTCAGAAATGTTTTATTACATGGATATTTAGGAGCTGATTCCAAAAAGCAAACTGGGAGTAATTCTCCAACTTCTCATGGGGAAAAGAACACGTGAAGGACACATTGCAGAGACGGCAAGGGACAGTCACAGCTTCCAAGAAACCTTGGAAAKTGAAATTTAGGTCCCAAACAACTAAAACAATGTTACGGTTAGCTATGCTGTAACATAAACTGTGGGGACAAAGAAAAGTCTGTCAAGTCTGCTTATACCTTAATGATATTGAGCAGTTCATGTCGATCAATGCAGCCATTGCCATCTACATCGTAGAGCTTGAAATACCACCGCAATTTCTGCTCCATCTTCCCTCGGAGAACGAGGCTGAGGGCAGCCACATATTCCATGAAGTCAATATATCCATCCTGTGGGAAAGCAAAATCCAAATTGTGAAGGGAATAAACTGAGGAAGTTACTGCTCTGCAGTTCTTTTACCTTATTGCTCTTTAGATTCACAACTGAAAGAGAAAGGCAAACAAATGGCASAGAGACTTGGACTTAGGAAAAATCTTTAGTGCACAGACATGCTATTTCTTTCACCACTAAATACCTGGGTTCCTAAAGTTATGATCTATTACGTGTATATGCTCATCCCTCGCAGTGAGGGAACCTCGTTGTCCGTGTGAAAAAAGCCCTCTCTGTGCACCAAAGCCGACCGCCTTTGGCTGCTGGGAGACAATATTATGCCCAGCCCATTGGCTGACAGTTTTCTGTACTAGTCTGCTCTGCCTTTGTCAGAAACTATGCCATTSCACTAAGCCACAGATCTCTTCTCCATTCTCTGGAAAATAAAGTGACTGGGAATATTTTTGAAAATACATGGAGAATKATTTGACCACTGGAAAAATGTTAAGTATTTAGATTTTTAATATTCCATTTCTTAATCCAGAAACTAAAAAAGCTCTTGTTTCTTCTGCAAGAAAAACGCCACATAGTAATGGTTCATAGGCCATAGATTTACCACTGACTAAAATTTGAAGGGGTTAAAAACAAACCACAAACAAAACACATATCTAGGTCAAAGATTCCCAATAACTACTTCACAAATAACAGAGGGAAAAAATGAAACTTTCAATTATTGAGATATTTAAACAAAGTCAGACGCCTTTATGAAATTGATGTAAATAAACATATGTAAAAAGGTGAATGTAGGTGAACTAGCAGAGCACTGATGTTTTACAGCAAGGATCACAACATTTAAAATATTCATTTAGGGTGGGAAGAAGGGCACGACAGGCTGAGAGAGTTATGACTGATCAGCCTGGAGAACAGAACACTCCCAGGAGACTTTGGTGCCCCTTCCAGTACTTAATGGGGRCTTACAAGGGGGCTGGAGAGGTACTTTGGACAAGAGCATGTAGTGATAGGACACAGGGAAAATGGCCTTAAACTGCAGAAGGGCGGGTTTAAATTAAGCTTTAGGACGGAATTGMGGACTGTGAGGGTGGTGAGGCCCTGGCACRGGTTTCCCAGAGCAACTGTGACTGCTCCTGCATCCCTGGCAGTGCCCAAGGCCAGGCTGGACGGGATAGTGSAAGATGTCCCTGCCCATGACGCTATTCAAGTCCCTTCCACCCAGACCATTCCATGCCTCTATGACTCTGTGCTGCCCCTCCCTACCATGCTCAGCACACAGAACAGGCCCCTCTGTGACAGCAGCCCTGGGCCGGGRCAGTGTGAGCACCTTGAAGGCCGTGGGTGCCGTGTCGGTGGCCGCAGGAAAGGTGTCACCTCAATTCTGGCCACTGCCACTCGCRCTGGCACCGATGGCTTTGCTGTGGCTGCTCATCCTGCTGGCCCTGGCCAGCCCCGTGGTGAGCAACTGGGACACCTGCAGGTGAGTGGTCCTACACAGGGGGTTCCCTGTAGGGGCCCCAAATGTTCCCCACACCACSGCGTTCCAGCCTCAGCCCATGGAGGAGGAGCCTCAGTCGCTGGCCAGTGCCTAGCTACTGGCACAACCTGTCTGCAGGGCTGCAGCAGAGCTGGGGGGSACAGATGCACCCCTCAGGGGTCTCTGGCCCTCCTGCCACTCAGCGCTGGGCTGAAAAGAACAATGGGGGACCTTCAGCCTGAGTAACAGCAGCCACCAAGGAGGCCAGTGATATCTTTGTGCTTACAGAAGGACCTGTGGGCTCTGGCCCATGGCTTCTGACCACAGCTCTGTGGCTTCTGCTGCTGGCACCTCCCACGTCACGGGTGGCACCAGTGTCCAGCCAGGGGCCTGGCCCAGCATCGTCAGCATCCAGGCCACCTGGGAGAATGACACGTGGCACATGTGCTCCGGTGTCCTTCTCAGCTCCCAGTGGGTCCTCACGGTCGCGCACTGCTTCGCCAGGGGCGGGTAAGGAACAGCAGGGACAGAGATGTCCCCACAGCGCGGGCAGGTGCCCGGGTCACAGCACCCCGTGCCGCTCCCGGCCCGGCTCTTTCCGCTCCGCCTCCCTCTCTGCCCTGGGAAGCAGAAGGCCGGGAAATGCTGGAAATGCAGCTCTGCTCCCTGTCACCCCTGTGTCCATCCGCTCCACAGGGACATCTCCACGTGGGAGGTGGTGATTGGGGCCACGGATCTGACCCRRCTGGGCCCTGAGGCTGAGGTGCGCCGCATCCAGAGGCTCCTGGTGCACCAGCACTACGTGSCTTCCACGGCAASGAACGACATCGCCCTGCTGGAGCTGGACCAGCCCGTGGAGTGCAGYGACTACATCCAGCTGGGCTGTGTGCCCGACGCCTCGCTGAGGGTCTCTGAGCTGAAATCCTGCTACATCGCCGGCTGGGATTTTGCCACGGGTGAGTTTCCAAACAATGTGCGCTCCGAGGGTGCGCTGGGCACCCTGCACTGATGGGCTGGCCACAGACAGAGCCCGGCTGCAGGACGGCAGCGGAGCCGGGGCTCCCAGCAGCCCGGGCTGGGCAAGGAGCCCTCGCCCAAGAGGGGCCGTGGAACGGGATGAGGTGCCTTTAAGGCGCCTTCCCACCCAAACAATTCCGGGAYTCTGTGAAGCCTCTGGAGAYAGCTCTGGCCCCTGTCCCGGAGCCAACAGCAGGGACACAGCTGGACAATGTCGCCCCATGGGCAGAGGCAATCCCGGGGAAGGGGAAAAAGTGGTCCTGGGGAAGGGGCAGAGCCCCGGGGAGGGGAGGAGATGGGCACTGAGCTGATAGGGACTCATTCCCCTCTGTGCCCACAGCTCAGGGATCAGGCATGGTGCTGCGGGAGGCCAAGGTCCACCTCATGGACACAGAGCTGTGCAACAGCAGCCGGTGGTACGCGGGGACCATCCATCCCCGCACCCTGTGCGCTGGGTACCCACAGGGCAGCATCGACACCTGCCAGGTAGGAGCCCCCAAACAGCCCAGCCTGTCCCGTGTCCCTGGGCTGCCCTTCCCATCCCCCTCTGAGGGTTCTTGTCCCATGTCCCATGTCCGCTGTCCCTGGGCTGCCCTTCCCATCCCCATCTGAGGGTCCTTGTCCCATGTCCCATGTCCGCTGTCCCCGGGCTGCCCTTCCTTTCCCCACCTGAGGGTCCCTGTCCCCTTCTCCCCAAGGCCTGGTCCCGCCCACAAAGCCCATCCAGCTCTCCTGGCRGTCCCAAAGTGACCCTGGAACATCTGTTCTCTGCACGTCTGGGACCAATGTGCAGGGGTGGGAGAACYCCTGACTCATTCCCAGCTGAGGGCCTGGAGGCTCCAGCCCATAGGCAGAGCCTTCCCGTGCTGGGAATGCAAATGTGGCGGGAGCTGGGAGAGAGGAGCCAGCCCTGGCRCTGGCAGCAGCTCCCCACAGCCCCTGAGCCCTCTCTCCYGGTGCAGGGGGACAGCGGGGGTCCCCTCGTCTGCAAGGACAACACGACGGACTATTTCTGGCTCGTGGGCCTGAACAGTTGGGGAAGAGGCTGTGAAAGAGCCAGGCACCCCGGGATCTACACCTCCACTCAGCACTTCTACAACTGGATCCTGCTGCAGACGGGCCTGAGCCCGGCAGAAAGAGTTGGTCCAGCACCAGAGCCAGTCGCCACCTCGATCCCAGAGCAGCGTCTGAAACCGGCAGCAGAGGGATACATCGGCTTGACCCCTGAGCACAGCCAGAGACCAGCGCTGGCATCCTCGGGCACACTGATGCCCATGGCCTTCCCACACCAGATCCTGGCGCAATTCTGGAATCTGGTGCAGGAGTTCCCGCAGTTTCTGAAGGACAAAAAGGTTTGAGCAGCAGTGGGACGAGCAGGATCCAGGGCTACAGTGGACCGTGSCATTTCCTGCTGGGCCAAAGGTAGCCTTGGGGCCAGAGACTTCTCTATGCTGCCCATGCTGCTCTGCTGCGGCCACGCCGATGCTGACGTGACCGAGGTGTTGAAGTAAAGTTTCTGTGTTCACCATTAACCGTGTTTTCAGCCCTGCTCAGTGCACCCACGGGCTTGGAGAGTCACTGCTCTGTCTGTCCGTCTGCTGTGCTGTTCACATTCGTTCTTCAGCCTGGAGAAGGCTC